GAAGTTCTTGTCAAATTGACATTCATCCAGAAGAAAGAATTTTTGGCTTTAGACTTTTTCCATCGGCTACAAAAACCGGGAGAAAGTGATGAAGACTTTGCGGGGAATCTCCAGGCATTAGTCAAACAGGCATTCAAGGATTGCTGTCCCCTGCGGGTTGCCCCATGGACAGCCGCCCACTTCAAAAGGGGTGTGCGTCCACCTGCTTTGGCAGAACAACTGGTGCAGATGAAGACTAGCAGATTGAGCCGCCTCATCGGTGCGGCACTAGCTAAGCTCCAGGAGTTGCAACTCTCAACCGAATTCAAGGACCGCATTCACCCATGGACTCCCAACAAACGGTCTACTGGAGGGCAAAGGCGTGAGCTCTGAAGCGGCCTCTCAGAGCAGAGTGAGGCACCATTTTCTTACTTCTTTTGGACTCGGGAGCAGCCCGTTCCCTATTAAATGCACAGGCTTTCCCCATGGTATGCAGCAAGGCGAAAACTACCCCACCGGCTACTGGACTACTCTCTGCAGAAGGAATAGAAATTTCGATAATAGGAGAAACACCTATCAGAGTTCCAATCGCGAATTACAGGTGGGAAGTAAATTTCGTGCTGTGCCCAGAGCTAGCCTGGGGCGTACTGTTAGGAGTCGACTTTTTACGCCAGTCCCGAGAGGTTATGCACTTCGATACAGGCATGCTCACAACCCATCGAAGGTCCAAGGAGAAGAGTTCGATCTCTAAGCCAAAGAACGATGCATCTGACATATGGAGATCCCTTTTCGTCGCTCTTGCCGTCCTTGGGACCAATCAAAACGATCTCTGCGCTCAACTAAAACAGGTTACTGAGGCTGAGAGGAAGGAACTGCACTCACACCTGCAGAAATACTTACAAATGCTCCCATGGGAAGGCGTGGAACTTGGACAAACAAACATAGTCAAACACAGAATCGATACTGGCGAGGCCAAACCGATCTGGCAGCCCCCTAGACGCATACCACCACCCCTCCAAGACGAAGTACATCGATTGATTGACGAGACGCTGCGTAATAACGTTACCAGGTCCGCCCAGTCACCGTGGGCCTCCCCCATCGCATTAGTTAAAAAGAGTGACGGTAGCCTAGGTCTATGCGTCCAATATAGGAGGCTCGATGCAGTAACAAAGAAAGACGCGTTCCCCTACCCCACGTTAACGACTCGTTGGACTCTGCAAGGAGCGAAGTTGTTCTCGACATTGGATCTGAAGTCCGACTACTGGCAGGTGGAGGTAGCGGAGACGAATAGAGAACAAACAGCCTCCATTGTGCTAAATTGACTACATGAGTTCTAAAGGATGCCTTTTGGGCTTTGCAACGCGGCGGCCACCTTCTAGAGACTTATGCAGACGGTATTGCGTGGCCTATTCCCGAAGCACTGAATTATCTATCTGGACGACATTCTCGTTTTCGGGAAAGACATCAAACAACATAACTCCAACCTCCGATTAGTACTGATACGCCTTCGGGAAGCAGGTCTGACGCTGAATCCGAAGAAATGCAGTTTCCCCCAAAAGTCGGTCACGTTTCCAAGGCACACAATTTCTGCAGACGGGATAGCGGTCACGGAGGACAGAACAAGAAAAGTAAAGACTTGGCCGACACCTACAAATCAAACGGAACTTCGCAGTTTCCTTGGTTTGGTTAATTATTATCGGCGTTTTGTAAAAGGGCTCGCCAAGATCGCAAGTCCCCTGTTCACGTTGACAGAGAGACAGGCATAAAAGGACACAGTAGGTGTGCTGTTATTGAGCGAGTCTACATCCCATTACTGGCGAACCACGCAGAGCTCCGACCCCGATACAGCTTTAGTCCATGAAAGACTAAGGACGTCTTCAGCCAAGCCCATAGTTGAGGAGATGAGTTCGGCGAGCCAAACACATATGACAGAATTGGGAAAAACTCTTCCTAGAGGATGATGCCATGTGGTACGAAGACGATGATGAGGCAGGTTCTAAGCACCTTGTAGTACCCTGTTCCTTAGTGCAGCCATCCCTGTTGGAATTGTATGAGCAACTTGGCCATGTGAGGGACAGGAAGATGCTCGACGCCGCTAGGAAGAGGTATTGGTGGCATTCGCTGACATCGGACGTCCCTGAATTTTGCCGCGCATGCGTTACGTGGACGAACCTGAAGAACACGACTCGCTCGGCGGTAGTGTCTCTGTAGCCGATGCCCACGGGCTTTCCTCTTCCCACGACTCCGAGATGAAACCGTCACATTTTGGTAATGGTAGACTACTTCGCCAAGGTCGCGGAAGCCGAGCCACTACAGACGCAGGATACTGAGACAGTGGCAACCGCATTTTTCAATCGTTGGATCCGCCAACGTGGCGTGCCTAATTCCGTACATAGCGACCAAGGGGCGAACTTCGAAAGCTCTCTTCAAATAGCTGCGCAAAGCCTTTGGAATCCTTAAGACGCGTATGACGCCGAGTAACCCTCAGGGCGATGGGCAATTAGAGGACAAACCGTACCCTTGTCGACTTATTGAAGGCCTTTACTAGAGAAGTGCAGCCCGAGGATTGGGATCTTTACCTAGGACGGGCTCTCCCCGCCTGCCGAGCCTCTGGTCACATTTCGACTGGAGTGTCACCATTCAAGATGCTCACGGGCCGTGAAATAAGAGTTTCTTTGGACATTTTGCTTCCGCGTAAGAAACCGGCAGGGAACAATGCGCCTCAGTACGTCTTACGACTAAAGGAGAACCTCAGAAAAGTGATTGACGCCGCACGTAGACAGCTGAAGTAAGCATACGCTAGGCAAAAGAAGTCCTACAATAGACAGAGTCGAACAAGCGTCTTCAAAGAGGGCGATTTGATGCAATAGTATAGACCAATTTCCCCTTTAGAAACCCGTTGGAAATTCTATCACCCCTGGAGCAAGGAACCCTACCGGATTATCAAAGTTCTGTCGCCCACGAATTATCTCATTCGGAATGCGGAGATCGCTACTCTGCCTCTGACAGTACATCATAACAAGATTAGGCCATTTACGGGTCCTTCCCCAGTAGGCTACGAAGACGAATTCTGTATGGTATCAGAAAAAGAGCAGCCGCCCGACAAAGCCCTACTGGTCAGCACCAGGGACGGTGCTTAAAAGAGAGGGGAAGCTGTGTAGTATATACTGGTTTGTTTAAGTGTACTTTCATAAGTGAGAAACGGGAGCCAACTGGGAACGCGAATCACGCGCGCAGAGACGGTAGGGAGTCTCCCTCCAGTTGATATTTCCTACTAGCCTCATCTGCATCCTATTTCCCACCCTTCCTATAACAAATGCCTAATAAATAATCGGCAACCAACTCCCTCTTGAAGTCTGAGGTTCAAGGACCAGAGGGTAGACAGGCAGCTCTTACAGTTAGATACATGTAGTCCGAAGAGTACAGAGCAAATAGGTCTGAGCATGGTCCGAAGCCCAGCCCGCAACCACAGAAGCCAGACAAATTTTAAAGTGACCGCCAAACGTTATATTGTCACATAAACAAGGTATTAAAGTTGTCAACGGATAAAAGCATGTGTGTATTATGTAGCAATAAAATTTACTACACTTATGAATACGTGGCTCATCGCTTCTTTAAGATTCCCACGTATTAAGAAAGAACTAGGAGGTGCTAAATAATTGGTCGATTTAATCAGTTGCCGATCCTGGAACGAATTAACTTCCATTGCACTTCGCTACTTCAAGTTAACATTTGCAGTGCAGACACGATGATGTACTTTTATGTACCTCTTTGCAGAGGATTTTGCAGCCGTCTCTGGGGCGGGTATGCTATACCCCTGCTAATAGCATCTTTATCCCTAATTGGAGTCCTCGCCATCATTTTCGTCAGTTTATCAGTTCTTCTATTGTCCTACCGAAAGGACAAACAGAACGTTGAGGAATCGTCATGCATCGATGAGGATTCGTTGCTTCACTTAGAGAAAAATCTATTCCTCTTTTCGCCATCAACAACTGATGTTGATGAGGACATCATATTCGATAAGGTTCGTGACGTTTTTGTGCCAAAACTTGCCAAGAATGTCAGCAGTAGCAACTCCACATTAAATTCTCCCTCAATAGAAGCGAGAAATGTGAGTTCCCTTTGATTACCACAATTAATTAAGTAATTTATCTCCTTTTACTACTGATTTATTGTAATAACACCTTTGTGATTTCTACGACTCGGGGCAGCATTATTTAAACAAAATACTTTTTAGGATAAATTAGGACCATATCTCCTTTCGGCTAAATTTTTCATTTTGGTGATTAAATTAGCATCTTTCCGACCTCCTAAAAAGCATTACGTCTTGATCCCTCTCTGTCCTCTAAGTTTTATTTGCCCTCGTGGTAAAGTCCCACTTGTAGGGCTCCGCGACTTCGAAACAGGTAGAAGTAGGCATGAGGCTGGGAGGCGAAAGAGGAGATTGAGTCTTGACGTGGCCTGAAGACCAGACCACACTAACAAGACCTTACCCAAGTGCGCCAAACTTCATGTGGTAACGTAAGCAGTGCATTGCGCTGCGTGCCGACGTGAGCGCAAGTCGCATTTGTAATTGAAATCGATTTTATCCGCTATGATCGATTTTACGCATGAACTGCGGTTCCGCAGTTTGCACCGGTGAATGCCATATTGCAATTGCACTTTAGCCGTCCGCTTGGCCTGGTTCTAGTGATTACACTGCTGTTCCCACTTTGACTATTCTTGGGTTCATGTCTGCTACCACAAAGGCGACTTGAAGGAAGTGTGCGAGAATATGGTTGGGTACCATTAAATTCTGCCTTCTTTCACAGTGTACCTTAGCTGCAGCCGGAAAGTATGACGATGAGTTTGTGAATTATCCATTCTATAATCAGAGGACAGCAAACAAGCCGATAACCAACATTGGGCCAAGTGGCATGCGTGAGAAAGGCAGTCCGGAAGTCTTGTCGCCCATTTCGGTCATCTCTATGGCGTCCATAAAAGTAACCCTTTGTGATTTTTAAAATCATAGAATTTCAAGTAAAGACATGCACTAACCTTGGACTCTTAAAGTAGTGCATTTTAACGCAAGTTCTAACAAAATGTACTTACTATCTTTATTGTGAATGCGTCTTTTCTTTCGTATGTATTGTTTTTAATTGGAAATGGTTTCAACTTGACGATTATGATGCGGTGTATGTTTGCATGACTTTAGCAGAAGGAAAGTCCAAAAAATGGAGGTCTTAAGCCTGGATTGGCTGCTATTCGGACAGTCCCACTGACAGGACGGCTACTAACTCCACACCACCAAACTGAGGTAAGATCTGCTCGTTAATTCTGAATAAAATCCATCACAAGGCGAAACCTCGATTTTTGCGATAAAAGGCCCCATGGTTTCAAGTCCAATTTTTTTAATTTTAGGTGGAGGATAGAACTGCTAAAGTGTCAAAGTCCGTTGTGGGACGTGTAGTGATGACTTTGGCGCTCCAGATGGCTGAAGGACGTGATAATTCCTCACTTCAGCAAACCCACATCTACGAAGTTAGATGCCTGCCTCTAAGACCAGTTTCAAAATCACCGATTCTGCGTCCGAAAAAGTTCTACATAAAGGCAAAGCTTGTCATTAAATGCAAGTCATAAACATTTATAACGTTAACGGTTCGAGAAGCTCATTATTTAGAAACCAGTCATATGGTTTCATTAGGAAATTCTTCCCAGTGCGGTCAACACATCGCACTAATTTAATGCCCAAGGCTTCCTCGAACACAAGCAAAGCCAATGTTTAGAGCGGAACACGTACTTTGTGGTACTAAGAAAGGTTCAGAGCTATTGACGTGGTTCAACTGCCAAAGGCGGAGGGTGGGCAGCCGAAAAAGTGGAGTGAAGCTTGGAGTGAATGATCCAAGTGTTGCACGGTTCTCATTTTATTTTACGCCTTGTCCTTGGAGCTCCGAGGGTCTGTCAACTGCGTCAGGCAGTGATTTGGCGTGTAACTGACATTGCATAACGCCTCAAAGTTACTAAACTAAGGGTAAATTCACCGATCTTTCGGCTAATTACAGTAGCCAATTAAAGATCACGTTTCTGTGTTTTAGCCATTTTTGGCGCTTTGCTCTTTCATACTGTCAAGTCGTGCCTTCCTAAGCTCTAGGCAGTCGGTGAAGTTGGATGGGCGAAGCAACTTCACATTTAAGGTCTCTATGCGGCCACGGCGAGGAATTTGGAGCTTGAATGTCTGCCGTAGGTAGACGTTGTTATCCATTCCTATGTTACCTATCGTCACAGCTTATTTCGTCTTTGACGCATCGCTCTGCCGTCAGTTGGCTATTCACTTGCTCCCTTAAGGTCAACACCACCTTACATTACCACTACTGCAGTAATGGGAGGCTTCCCTAAAGGCAAGGTAGTCGTTATATTGAAGGTGACCCTGTTTTATGGCTTCAAATGGGCTAGGAGAGGCTACCGGGGTGGTCGAAAGTCATGCCATCTGACAGGAGCAATATGGCGAGAAAGTAAGCACCTAAAGGTCAAAACACACAGAGTCATACACATAGTGTTTAGGCTGTTTTTTTTGTTTTTGACCACAATGGATCGAGTTTAAGTAGAGAGGTGAGTAAGTGGTCCCTCCCTCTTTGAGTAGTCTTCCTTTACTGTTAAACACCCCAGTTTCTAGATCTCTGCAGCCCCATAATGCTCCATCTGATTGCATTCAGCCATTCCAGTTTTTCAGCCGTTTGCATGGATTCTTGTTAAATTTTTGTTTCTGGCCTAGTGAAAGTGAAGCGGTCCACTTATGGTAGAAGAACATCATGGCCTCGTAACGTTACATTTCTCGGATTAAAAAGTGCTATGTCCTGCTCCTAGCATAGGTTGATGAAGGTTATCCTAAAAATTCACATCTCCCATGGCACCCTTCTACGTTGACTCATGGAGAGGAGTTTACTGTTGCTGAAATTTTAAAGAATGTGGAGGGGTGCTTTCAAATAGTGAGTCAATCAAATGTTTTGAAACATATAAATAGTTTAGCACGCGGTACTGCCACATGAAATGATGTTTAGGTGTTCTTTAGGTGAATTGGATAAGTGTCAAAGAAATACGGGAATGGTTTCCTACAAGGACTTAAGTTCGCTCCTTGCGAGCTGCGGAGGAAGTCACATTCCTATTAGCCAAGTGATGGTGCTCATGCAGTCTCACACACACTTAGTTTCTCGGATGCAAAGCAGACTTTTCCTATGGCACAAATCAACTGGCTAGTCGGAAGGAATTCTCTCAGTTTACACAATTTTCTCCCTTTTGACAGCTTTCGACACTATGAAAAGTTGTCTCTCCCTCTACTCCCTCGCCGTGGGCTCGCAGGCACGTCGGTGGCGCCTCCGACGATGCAACCCCAAAGGCTGTGGCGGTGTTCGGACCAACATCGTCGAAGGGTGGCACTGTGCTCGATTTGGTCGGACTTTTTCACCCCTATTGCCTACGTCCTGGATTTGTTCCTCTCCATCGGAAGGTATGCTGCTTTTCGTTTCTTCCCACTATAAGCAATTTATCACACAGGCTTTAGGTTCAACAGTCACTAACGTTGATTAAAGGCAATACGAATCACCTAATTATGGTCATACAAAGGCTTTAAAATATCTCTGAATTAAGAAACCGCAGTCATTTTACCTAAAATGACTGGTTCTTGGCTCCGTATGAGTTATGAGAGAACTTATCGCTTTTTAAGTTATCCAACGCGAAAGAGAACTATAATGCTAGTTTCAGATGAAGAAGGGACTTTACCTCAGCCAACAGCGCAGCGTCCGCGAACACGATCATTTTCCTGGTGCAAGGCGGAGTGGAGCTTGATACAACACCTAGAGTTAATGCCTGCACCGAGGCGCTGTGCCATCCAGTCGCATTGGCGTCAACGAGCCGAAGTTCTGGAATGCGTCTCCATTGTCTGCACTCTGCGTCTCCTCTCCCTCGCTACTGCACTTTGGAACGGCGATAAAAGGGCGGGGGTTAAATTGAAAGAGGACTTTCATTTCATCAAATCAAACTCGCGGATGTCATAAGTGCACATTGTTGGAAGGGAGTGAGACATCTTTTTCGCTGCATCAAATATCACACCATAGCACTATCAATTTGATGTTTTATGGCTGAATTACGGAGCAATGGAATAAGAGGGAAGTGAAACTGAACTTGGCAGCGCATGACATGGTACATTTATACCTTCATCGCTCCCGAATAGTTGGTAATTGGCAGGCGATTCCACGCCAGGACGATCTGACAATCAAAGTCCTCAAAGCGGTCGTGTCATATTTGGTGTAGAGGATCGTCCTAGTACCGTTCGGGGACTACCACCTGTCATTGCCTTGGAGACCAGAGTTATCCTTGCAGCCAAAGGGTTTGTGCAATTTGAAAGCTTAGAAACAAAAGAAACTCCAAGCAGTGCATTCTTATGGGTACGTGGGTTTTGGGCTTCCCTGTAACACTTTGGGCAAAGGCTTGGATTCCTCATCCACACCCTTTACAAGTTTCCGGCCTTTCTAGCTGTATCCAGTAACTTATTAACTATTGGCTCGCATGATTCCATAAAATTGTGGTTAAAACTCAGTGAAAGGAGCTGCTATTAGTTTTCCAAATTCTTCAAACTTTCCCCGTCCCAAGCAGTCTGTTCGATTTAATCTCTCCTCCGAAACGATTCCATTAAAATACCTTTATGATAATCCAGTTGCCGATTTAACAAGACAATAGGCTGTGTCCATTCAAATGGCATTGTAAGGATTTAAAATGCATCTGTGCCCTGAATCAAACTTATCCGCACCTATTTTCAAACGTCTCTTAGCTGCCCATCTGTCATGGCCCTTAAAAATATGGGTACTTAGGGGCATTTTTGGCATTTTTTAAATCCATGCGGTCGGCTGTTGTCGAATGAGATGTTGCATCCACAGGCGTAGGAGCTGAGCCTTCAACTTGGGTCGACAAGTGTCTCATTTTTATAGCATGTAGCGACCGTGACTTCGGCTATGTGGTCGAGGTAATGCCAAGAGCTACTCCTCCAGCTAATCGCTGCAACTAGTGATGCAGACGAGATGACCAGCATTTGGTAGTAGCACCTTATTGGAATAGAATAGTTATTTACTCCATAAGGGAAGGTATTGAATAAGTCATTTGGGGGAATAGTACCTCGTACCACAAATGCTGCTACTAATTTTAGTCAGTAGTATGTATATTGATGGGGTGAATTCGATTTTACAGTTTTAACTCAAATGTAGATGCATTGGGCAATGGAGTTCCAAAGATTGATGCTTCTTGCTAGTGGATAAATATGGCGGAGTGAACAATTTGAGCCTTAAAAAAGTGTCAGGCGTCGTACTCCGCTGACGGGAAAATTTGCCAAAGCAGCGCCTAATGCGATGCGGATGCTTTCAAATCACGTAACAAACTTACGCTTCCCAATTGTTCGCTGCTAATGAGAACAAAAGATGAATTATATTTTCTAAAGTATGCTACAATTTGGTCAACCTTCCGATTTTAATGACTAGCTTTCCGTTTAAGCCCCGCAAACATTCGGTTGATTGTTCAAACATCCCACTGGCGCTTCAAAGTTCCATGTAATAAGCTTAACTAAGATTTAAAAAGTGAACATCTCTCGGTCCGAACAGTGGGTAACAAACTCGACTTACTACGTCGTATCCCTGGCATATCATCTCAGTAATCCAAGTCTGCAAAAAGTAGGTGGCACAAAAGTTAATGCATCTTTCAAAGCTTAAACATTTTAGCCAAGTCTCTTAACTGCCTTTGCTAAAAGTTTTGCAAAATTTAGGCGTAACGAGGACGTCTTCATCTTCCGCTATCACGTACCCTTTATTGGATGTTTTCTAGAACCCATCGGGGAGTTATTTTGGTCGGCAGAAGTGTTCTCACGCCCTAAACCGTCGAAAACAGAAAAACCAACAATCCCAGGCCCATTTTCCAGCCCAATGATGAGTGGCAGAGATTTAAAATGCGTCCTGTTGAATGAACCAGTTGCAAATGGTCAAGAGAGTCATTTCAGAGGCTCGCAATGAATAGAACGCGCAGTGCAGATTTCTACCTTAGGTTCTCCGTCTGATGCGTGGTTGCGAAGTTGCGGCCTTTGATCTCCTTAATAAGGGTCAATGTTGACAAGCCAATACTATAGTATGGTTATTTAAATAGTTTGGGAAGGGTATCACCCCTCGTGAGACGCCATCTTGCAAGGTTCAACATTCCTCTCACTATCTTCATACCGGCTTTCCTGATCCACTGGGTAAAGAAGCATTGGTGCACACTCGCATTGTTGACTCGCACCTCTCTTTGTGGACCACAGGGCTAGAAGCACACTCCACCTCGTGGCCAGTGCCTTCCATTTTAACGTCATGCCTTGTGAAACAGTCTTGTTTTGCTCCAGTTTATGCTGATTTATGTTCCCCCAGTAGAGTTTTTTGTTATCAGTGGTGATGTCCTGCCTGGCCTTGTTTTGCCCTTGCTCTTTTTTATCAACTGGCAGCGATTACGGTCCCTGTTAACAAGTTCACCGTTCTCTCGCTGTGTTCGCATCCGGCGCATGTGTTTGACATCAACCAGGTAGTATTTCTTGTCCCAACGTTACGATCAACCGGCATCAAAAATACCACCTCAAAAATGCTTAAATAATAGCTAGATTGAAGCCCTCCTCGATACTTTACACTTCGGCGAGATTAATATTGTCATTCTTATAAGAATTGCCTGTAAGAATTTATGAGCAGTCACGGTAATGAGATGTCTCGGTGAGGGTCGAATAAATCGTTTTATTTTTGACAGCTAAATTTAGCCTTCACCTTTATCCTCGTATTGTGATATTTCCAACACACACACACAGAAGATTAGAGATGATTGTTAGCAATGGTGGCATTTGGAACTTCGAGTTTTTCAAATGCTACTAATAGGGTGCAGGAAAACACCTTCCCCCTCCTCTGTGGAGCGTGAGATTCCAGTTTACACGTTTGGACGAATTGTGCTGCTTCTACAGCATAAACCTCAAAAACGAACGCCATGTAAGTTGCTCTGGCCCTTGAGACTCACACGTGTCTGGGGATCCCGACAAGGACTAATTGCTGCTGGCACAGGTAAGCCTGAGTAGAGTGTGTAGATGTTGCGATGCGGTGGCGGAGTTGATGGTTGATGGTCGTTTCTAAACCAAATGCAATTTAGTTAAAATCTGTAGCTCGAATCCCAAATTGGTGTTACGATCAAGAGGCGTAGTCGAAAAAGTTAAGATGCAGAATGCCTAAGACTATTTGCTGTGAAAGTAAGGAGAGCAACGTTTCCCAAAGCTACGGTTTTCACATCCTACCAACCTCATAGGGATTTGTGTTCTTGCTATGCTTAGTTTTAATGAAATTGGGAAGGTTTTTTAAACCATCTTGGAGGGATCAACTGCCGCAGCGACTCAACATCACCTCAACCGTTTGGTTTACCATTTTTAGCGCTTCGAGTTTGGCTAAAATTTGGCCCATCATCTACACAGGGTCAGTAAAGTGGTGTGTTTAACGAATGGATTGTTTGGATTGTCAGGATAAGAAAGCATATTTTAGGCCCCGAATTATGGGAAAATATTTTTCTGTCGCTAGTCGTCATGGTCTTTTGCGTGTCATTAGTAAAACCAGAGGCAGAGTTTTTTAACTTTATGTTCTCATCAAACACGCGACTATATGTGATGCACTCTATTGTTTTTTGCATACCGCCTATCGTAATTTTGAAGAGAATGCGATTTTCTGTCGCTTTTGCTGATTGCATTCCGCATGCATCATGAAGTCATGATGGTTGCCTTTGGAAAGGAGGATCGCTGTTTGCGAGACTGCGTTCTGCTGCGTAGCACCACATCAATAGCACTCAGTGCACCTCTCTACCAACTATCCAATTTCGTTCCTTCCATAACCAACTTTCAGGCAACATGTCAGGAGATAGATAAGCCGTGCCCTAAACCCCAACCGCAGTGAGACAAGATGGGAACCTCCAAGTCGTCAAATGCACTGAGTAAAAGCTCCTCTGTGAGTGATGGAATGGTAGCTGGTTAGAGAAGAGTGTTCTCAGGGAAGGCATGGAATGAGTAAAGACGATTTGCGCTTCCACTTGTGGGCGAGAAGAAGCAATCGATTGAGGACAGCCCAAAAGTCACCGCTGAGGTCACTGCTTTCATGGAGGCTTGAGGTCTTAAAGGGATGCGGTTTTATGCAAATGCACGCAGGAAACAAAGTCTTAATGGAAGCATGAGCTTAAAGGCACTGAAGTTTGCTATGAGATTTGCATGCTTTGATTGGGCTCTGGAGGTCCCAAACTACACCTTGTGCATAGGTGGTGAAGAAGTGCAATTGGAGCCACAGTGATACGATTACAATCGTATCGTTGGTCCGTCTTTGGGCGTTTCATTCTCATACTAGGGAAGGGATAAAACATGGAAGTGGGTTTAACTGCCACAATGTTAGGGCGCGTATGGACCGCGTTCTGGCCAGCGGCGGCAGGACGGTCAGACGACCCTGGTCCTGTTGAAGCTAAATGGGCGGATATTAGCGCGACTGTCAATGTAGAGAGGTTTCAACGGACTGATAGCTTAGAATTTGTCCAAGCGATCTGTTGATGGCTAGAAAGGTACGACTAATAAAGAAGCGTGGGAGTGTTGCATGGTTTTGTGTCTCTTTAAATTTTACATTTTGTAGTCTACATCACATTTGATTAGACTGCGGCTGAGTGGCTTAATTTTTTGCTACAGAAGGCTTAGGAGTCAGTAAAAAAACTTCTTCATATGCTCCAATAGGTTTGACACTAGATTTGACTGTTCATCATAAAAATTAATCAGTAATCAGTAAGTCTTCCTCTCCATTCCATTCTGCATCAGGAAAGCAGTCAAGAGGAATATGCATGAAGGATCGCTTGAAGTCTAAAAAGAAACCCTGTTAACAAATTGTGATTTATGTAGTTCACATTTAGGCGTCTTTAAAATTGCGAGTTGAGTTTCTTAACTCACACTCGCGCCGAACTAGTGCAGAAAGATCCGAGCTATTCCAAACGG